CTCTGTATGTCTCTATATATGTCCCTGCTGTCACTAGTAAACCATGTTAAATCCCTACACAGACACTTTTATCTCTCCTTATCCTGAACAGCCAGTAAGACCCTACATCTTTTATATATCGTATGTAGTAAGCATATTATAAACCGCTGCATTAATTCTAGCAGCTTGGTGAAATGTATCAACCTTAGATTTTCTATGAATAATTCCATAATTTCTTTCTGATTTTGCATCAAATATTTTTCGTAGCATTATCTTGCAAATTGAATCTTTTTGAACCTTGAACTAAACATGTTTCTTGTTTGCTTTGTACGTTGTTCCTTTACCCTAAAACTGTCAGCAGTTGCTGGTTTCTACTCCCAGCGCCAAAGAAAAGCAGAGAATAAACAGGAAAGAATAGATGTGATTACAGATACTAAGCAGGTTTATAATTAGTCCAGAAGTCTAAGCGAGAGAGAGGCAGTGAAGGAATGGTGAGAGGGTGATGAAGGATACAGAGGAGAGTGGGGAAACTTTGTGGAATTAGATAGGTAAAATATTTAGACACACACACACTGACCCACATGCACACACTACATATATAATAAATATAAAGCTGCATTTTCTAGAAAAGAGAAATAGAAGGATGGTCTTAAAATGGCATCACTAAGTTCTTCATCTCTGGAAGATGCAAATTTTTGAGAATTTCAGAAAAGCCTTTTGAAAAACATTGAGATTATGTTTTGGGTGCAGGTGTGTTCAACTCCACAGCAAAAAATGAAAACTCTACGTCTCTGCACCGACAAGAACAATGTGGTAATCTTCTTTTATCTCTTTATCTCAGATTAATACCAGTATGTGTCAGAAACTTTATTATTCATTGAGGAGTCATATAATACAGTGAGATATGTATCAGGGAAAAAGATCAAATAAATGTGTCTTCAGATCGGAGAATATCACTATGAATTAGACTAAATCACCTTTAAATCTAAATACAGTCTCGTGACACACACACACACACACACACACACACACTTTGCGATTTATCCGGAGCTCCAAGCATCCTTTACAAGCTAGAGTTGCTGAGTGCAAGGTATAATTTTCACATGAAGAACAGGAATATCTACTGGAAACTATTCCTAAGTGGCCTGAGGATGATGAGAAGCCCTTGATAGTGTTTACTGTTTACAGCAAGCTGTCTTTGATAGCAGTGTGGATGACCTTAGCTGGAACTCTTTGAGCGGAAGAAACAGGTGAAGACTTTTTTTTGACAAAATCCTTAAAAGGAAGTGGTTGTTTGCTGGATTTTGGTTTATGTTTGTTCAATCATAAATACAGATTTTTCCGTATTCACAAAAATCATTGAATGGCTTTTTAAGTATGAAAATGTGGAGCACGCGCTGTGACCTTCACAGTCAACTGACTTCAACCCAGTTTGGAGTGACGTGCTCGACAGCGCTCTCCACCTCCATCATCAGAACACCAAATGCGGGAATATCTCTTAGAAGATTGGCATTCATCCCTCCAGTAAAGTGGGCTTGTTCCCGGAAAGTATGTGTCGATCCAAAGACTGGCAGGACAATTCTGGGAATCACTTCAGTACGTACATCAGTAAGTGAACGGCTTCAGTGCTGATACGTTCAGTTTTGTACAGCGCTAGCCTATACTAGCACACATTATATGGGTCATGATTGTGTATGTAGCCTTTGAGTAATTAAATAAAGGTTATAAAAAAAATACTATGCCTCATAATTCTGATCTGCAGACTTGTAGTTGACAAACAACCCACAAGGACACTATGTTGGTTTCCCCTCTGAAGGCCCAGTGTCACCCTCCCCTTACAAGGAGAAACTAATAATAAAACATGAACAGGTCCATAGAGTCAGCATTTGCTTCGTCTGTTCTGGGCCACTGTAGAAACATGGCGGTTCAACATTGCAGACTCCATGGAAGGCGACCCGCAACGTCTGTGGATAAAAAAGGTTCATTCTAAGGTAACAAAAAATAACGATTCTTTTTTTGTTTAATGAAAACATACCTATGAATATTATATTCATTTTTACCAATAGATCCTTCTAAATGTTCCACACTGGAGCTGTAACGTGTCACTGATCTGGTTGGTATGAGGCCCTAATGCGAAACATGTACCAAGACTTCCTGTAGCAGCATCAGTATCCGTAGCATCTCCCTCTGCTGGTATGTGTTGCACTTACTCATTTTATTTCAGTCTGGAAATGAAGCATTGACACGCACTAAGCCCGGACACTTTAAAGGAGTGTCACCTTTTCGATAAATCATTTTGAGTGACTACCCCTCCACCCACACACGCACATACACACAACAGTGATCAATCACAAGACCGGGACAATCTCGTCTTGATGATTAGCGAGGCTCCTTTCTGCGTCTCTTGAGAGTTTTTGTCTCAAGCAATGATCAATGAGAGATGATCAATTCCTCTTCCTCTGTTCAATAGAGGACCATCAACAGCCTTCAGTAAACACAGTTCACTTCAGGGATGTTAGCTGGCTGGTCATTTGGAAAACAAACAAATGACCGTAGCTCTCTGGCTCATTTGGATTGTGTCACACTCACTTAGTTCTTTATCAATCACACAGAGACTGAGGAAGAGAAATGAAAGACGTGGTCTAGATGCTTGAACAGTGGAGGAAGAAATCCCAATAGGTGCTATGGTGCTGAGGGCCTGATGGGTGAGATGTGTGTGATGTTTTCCATTAATTGAAAATAGATATGGCTACATTTCCTTGTTTAAAACGGACACATTTCACCATGTTGGACTCTTGAATTTGAAACAAAGAAGAAAAAATTAAACAGATCCCGATGACTTTATAAAGTGATAATAAAGTGTTAACTGAAAATACCTCCTGCAAGTTACACTTTAGAGCTCAGACGCATGCAAAATAAAGGGAACACACACACACATTCAGTGATGCACGTGCACATTTTGTCTTGATTTAGCACTACTGTTCCTGTCCACTCTCGTCAGCTGACAATAAATTATAAACACATTCCTTCACCGCTCTGTCACCGGGAGAATTTATTACCGTCCACAATGACAGCTTTGGTTGGACACAGTTCACAGCTTCTCAGATTCCTGAAAAGCCACGTGCTCATCAGTGAGAGTGCACACACACTTACGTATGCACAATACACAGACAGTAGAAAAAAGCCATGCCAAGCACACAAAAACACACAATGAGAATAGGGTCAGCTGCCCAAATGGTTTTGAAATGTACAAAAAAAAAATCCAGAAAATTATGAAAATAATATACATGGTGCATGAAACACAAAATATTGCTTCATTGATTTTTGCAATATGACGTTAACAAAGCTCACCATGATTTATGAGACGGTTAACGCACACACATTAATACCACGAGTCTCTCTGCCCTGTTAGTGTTCAATAAAGTACTATTTTTTACTGTTTTATTTGCTTCCTGTCATCTTGTCATCTTTTCAACACGGAGTCATCCATCACTTGTATTCCAGCATTATTCATTTCTCTCCAACTGAAAAGTAGACTTATTGAAAGAATTCAAAGTTTCATCATATTTCCCAAACCTCTCATCACTTTCTACACTGAAGTGAAGCTTTAGAATAATTTAGATGTCAAAAGTCTCTCCCTGAAAAAACAATAAATAACACAATACTGTGACTATATTTCATGGATGTATATTTCTACCTATTAAAATATTATCATCCTTTTCTGTAATGTATATCACCATCCATCTATCTATAAACTCACTCTTTTTTCCTTTATGTTTGCATGAGGGTCAGCAGAGCAACAAGATGTTTATTCCCATAGCAGCTTCCTCCAGCTCCCTCTGGTGGATCACTCTGGCCTTCGTCTCCACTCTGTGCTGGCTCTTCCTCCCAGTCCACTGGACATTCAACACCAGGGACGTCCTTTTCAACCAGAAACAACTACAAACAAGTTTCTATGTGGAGGAGCAGCAGCATTTGACTGTGACGTGCTCCTGTATTACTGATCTACTGATTATGTTCTGTTGTGTTGGGGTCAGCAGACGTTATAATGGCAAACATGTCAGCGGTTGCCTGTTTGGAAACTGGCAACATTAGCATTAGCATTTAGCTCTGTTTTGGTCATCACCAACTCAGAGTGAAAATATATTTTCCATAGAGAAAATCCTTCAGTGCCATTTCTCTTCTTTCAATGAAGAAATACCCTCCAGTTCTGATATAAGGGATCCTAAATAATGAAACAAGATCATCTTCATCATCAATAACTTTGAAAAAACTACATTTAGCAGTTGACAGACGTTCATTGAAATATGTTGAGTGGGATTTTACCAATACTTCACTGTCAGTAAAAGTCCTAACAATGATGAATATATTGCTTTAACAAGAAAAACACGCATTATAGTGAGTGAAAATATTTATTATATTGTTAGGAAATGTATTATGCTAACAGAGTTACACAAATTTGTATTATATTGACAGGTTATTATGATAAAAGAAATGTAAGTTTGCTGAGTAAACATTTCATACAAATATTTTAATAAGAACCACATAAGCTAAATGCCTGTAATTGTAAAAATTGTCAGATATGTTTGAAAATGATTTGCAACTAGCAGTATAGCAGTATAATATCTGAGGTAAACATTGTCTTAATTTTAATTCAACTACCACAACTGAAACAACAGCAGCTTTGACAGTAACAGTCTGAACTTGTTGAAATCTGTTTTATCAGAATGCATTTTTGAGATATTTAGTAATTGTTGAGGTTGAGGTAGCGGATTTCTTTCCTCTTGGATATTGCTTATTGAAATTAACCCTATCTAACGCAGGTTAAGGTACACTTGACTTGGTCTGAGACACATTCAGTCAGTGTAAACATTGTAAAATATTTTTTTCTGTTATTATAGACCAAATATAACAAGACTAGGACGCCTAATCAGCTGGACCAGTAGCCCAGTGAAGCAGCCATCTACATTATTTAAAAATTTCAGTACTGTGGCTCAGTTTTAGTAGTTAGCGTTGCTCCACTAATCATCGATAGAAGTGGTTGCAGTCGTAGTGACTTCAGTAGCAGTTGTAGCAAGCGAGGCTGATGTGCCAGTCGAGCTCCCGTCGCGTGGTTTGGTACGGGGCCTCATCACCTCCTCTGTGTTGCGTTCAGGTTTGACCAAGAGAACGTAACATTTGGGCAGGAAGATGCAGGTCAGCAGGCCGAAGCTGGAAGCCAGGATGGCAAAAATCTGGACTGCGACCATGAACTTGCCACGTGTGCTGAGGTAAGCCGGGACGAAGGAGATCCACACGATGAAGAAGACCAGCATGCCGAAGGTCATACTCTTCCCCTCACTGGAAAAAAGAAACATGCATCATTCCTCTGAAGTCTCAAAATAAATGTTCTTTACACAAAAAGTGGCTCAACGAGAGAAGGATAAACGCCTAAAATCTCAAAGGTTGGTTGAAAAGAAGGAAAAGTGGAAATTAAATTTAAAAAGTGTAAATTTACAAATGTGATGCTCTGCATGACATTTTTCAGATAATACTAGTGTTTGTGTGTGCATGTGTGTGTGAGTGCCAGCTGTCTAATGTTACATAATACCTGCACACAGGATGAGGAAGTGTAAACAGAAGGAAATAATCCCTCTAAGCATGTTGCTTTATAATTTTCCTGTCATATTCATGTTTTCTAATGGGGAGGTGTTTTTTTCTGGACAAAAGTCAATTTTAAGATCAGAAATATTATATTATAATGTATTATGTTTATTCCCACAGTGTCGAGCCATGATATTCTATGCTAAATGTTCCTCCTGTTTTCCCTGAAACTTTGTGTGTTTCCCACCTGATGTGGTCCTCAAGTTTGCGGGCTATGAAGGCAAAGATGAAGGCCACCAGAGCCAGCAGGATGTCATAGGCAAAGATACAACAGATGAAGACAATTGAGCCTATATCACACTCGAGGATGATCTTTATATTCTGGGCAGAGGTGTTCTTCACTCGGTGAGGAGGGAGGATGATGAGCCACACTGTGCACGCTATAGCCTGGGCAGAAGAATGATAAGGTCAGTACTGTTACAGGAGAGTAAGTCAGGTATCAAGTCAAATGCAAGCTTTTTTTTGTTGTTGCATTTACCTGTATTAATGTTGCCACAGCAGCTATCGCCCTCTGGTGGCCACAGGAGAGAGTGTCAACTTCAGGGTTATCGCTGACATTGATGTTATTGTTGTTATTTGTGTTGGCGTCAGGATTGCCGCTGTTGGCTGCTGCTTCGGCTGCAGCCTTTGCAGCTTTGGCAGCTGCTTTGCTTTTGGCACGGACCGCTTTGAGCGCCTGAGCTCTCAGCATCAACACTGCTGCCTTACCTGAAGTAAAGACATCAGAATATACTTTTTACTTATTTTTTTAAAAATCTACACATATTGGTATTTTTGTCATCTATTTTTTGTCTGTCCAGGGAGAGGGATCTTTACGTTTTTTTCCATTTTTCCCAGTTAAAAGGATTTCTAGGGGAATTTTTCCTTACCCAAATTGAGGGTCTAAGGACAGAGGATGTTGAATGATGTACAGATTGTAAAGCCCCCTGAAGCAA